ACTAGATTTATTGGGGTGATAGATGGGAGGGGAGTTGGTGGGCAGGGGGAAAAGGTGAAGTGATTAAGAAGTACAAATTAGTAGTTACAAAATAATCATGGGGATGTAAATTAAAGCATAGGGAATATAGTCAATAATATGATAATAACTACATATAGTTCTAGGTGAGTACTAGACTAGTCAAGGGGACCATTTATATAAATGTCTAACCATTATACTGTACACCTGAAATATAAAATAATATTGAACATCAACTGTAACTGAAAAGTTTTAACAGGGAGGAAAAAAGGTGAAGGGGAATAAGAGGTTCAAATCTCCAGGTATAAAACAAACAAGTCATGGGGACATAATGTACAGCATGGGGAATATAGTCAATAAGATTGTGATAACGTGGTATGGTGTCAGATGGCTGCTAGGTTATTGTGGTGATCACTTCTTTAGGTATATAAATGTTAAATAAGTATGGTGTACACCTCAAGCTAATATAGTATTGTATGATAGCTATAGTCTAATAAAAATCTTTAAAAAAAAAAAGTAGCAGAGTAGGTACATGTACAGGTAAGCTAGTGAATTTAGTGGTAGAAAGAAAACTGCCCTGTGATGTCTTTCATTTTCTCAATAAAGACAAGGTCTAAAAGAATGAGGTAAAGGAAGAAAGGAAAGGGGGGTTTAAATTGGAGATTTAAGGAAAAGAAAAAAAGGTCTGAGATACAGATTTTCCAAAATAGGCACTCTAGGGAATTATAGTAATGTTGGCAGTATTAAGTATGCATTTGAAATTGAGAGTATATGTTTATAATGAAACCAGTCAGCAAGGTTATCTCCATTTTTCTCCATCCATGTTCAGCTGTAAGGTACAACAAATAAGTTGACCAATTTGGATTAAATGGTGTTGAATTTTGCCGAGTAAAACAAAAATATACAGAGGCAAAGAAATTAAAGGGTGTTTGTAATGGAGTGACTACAAGACGGATCACTAACCCTAAACTGGGAAAGGAGGAAACAGGACATGGATACTTCACAAAGCATGTCTTATACCCCCAAGTGGTCTAAAAACTCAACGACAAAAACCTTGAGTTCTATACTGTGTGTACCTCCCCAAAGAGCACTACAGTGTCAGCCTTTGCTGACTGATTAAATGGGTATCCCCACTTTTTCCAGAACTCCAAATGACACAAACTCATCAGATTTTTTTTTTTAAGCAGGTTTCTGAAGATCTCGAAAGAAAAATAAATCTACAGTTCAAATGTTTTAGTTCTAAAGAGCAGCTGACTGGGTTCCCATGATATTTCCATATAAACAAAGATTGTTGCTGCACATTAATCAAAGGAAAACTATGGCACTATTGGCACTAGAAAGTCACCTTAACCACAATTAATTCACTTCATATGAGAAAATACAGCCTAATTACTACAGGGCATCCCATCTTAGAGAAACTCCCCCCCCCCACCCACAGAATTAAAACGACTGCATTTCCAGGCACTTGCTCAGTGCTAACTAGTTAGTGCTAATTAGCACAATGCTAACTAGTCAAGTGAATTGGAACTCTGACACTATCGCTAACTACATATAGTTTTTCTCATTAAAGGAATTTAAAATAATTCTAGAAGTTATCGATCTGCTAGAACACTTAGTTTATATAAATTACTGAAAGTCATTCATTGTCCCTACTTTATTTATTCTTTTCATATTTAAATAATGTCAAGAAAATCCTAGAGAAGACAACATATACTTTTAGTTAATTAGGTTCATATAAAAATTATCACTATCTTTTATACTTTTAGATGTTCAACTATTCTTTTCCCTACCGCCAGGTTTAGTCAGGTCAGTTCAGTGAAATAAAGAAAAACTGAGTTCAGGTAGCATGTTAAGGAAGAAAAAGAGATCAAAGAAGGTTTGGTTCCCACGCTGTGTTCCTTCTCAGGGCACCAAACAAACCATTAGCAAAGAATTAAAATAGCTTCATTATCTGTAACATGAGAATACTAAAGTAGATTCTACTAGTTTTCCTTCTGCTCCAAAAATTCTATTCCTAATCTAGTGCTTTGGACTTCCCTCTTTCAAAAGCCTTTTTGAAAAGAGGTGTTAAACGATTTAATCTTTCAAGTCATAAACCTATTCCATATTTTCTTTCTCTGTATTACAATTAACAGGAAAGCCTAAAAAAAAACCAAAGATAAGTATTTTTAAACCAGAAAAAACTAGGCCAATTAAGCTAATTATTGGTGACATTCTCCATAGAACACAACATTTTGTTTCCCATTCACTCTTCTCATGCCCGTTCTCCTTTTTTTCTTCTTTCTCCAAGCCTCAGGCCGAGTGGTGGAATCCTGAGAACCTGACTGCCTCCAGGAGGATTTTGACGTTACTATACCCAGACACAGAACTTGTTTGGGAAAACAGGAGCTAACAGTTTATTAACGCAAGTCAGAGGGTCTTTCTTTATCTTTAGAGTCCTATTACCAAAATTAGTGTCTAGTACATAAAAGACACCTAACTTAACTTCTCTATATAACTTATTACACCAGTGATTCTCCTAATCAGTTATTTCCATTTACAAATGCAAACTTTTAGGTCCCACCTAGACCTACTGAATCAGAAACTCTGGGAATCGGGCCCTGCAACCTAATTTTAAAAGCCCTCCAGTAAGGGTGAGATTCTGATGCACACTCGAGTTTGAGAACCACTATATTAAACATGCCAGGAAATCACCTTTCTGTTCATTAGTGCTGGTAGCAAACAAGCAAAAAAATGCTGATTTTTCTCAGATACCACCACATACAAATCATTGGGTCCACATGATGCTATCCACCACTTAACTTCTGTCTCCGGCCTGCACACAAGATGAACTTTACAGTTAAAGAACTTGAGTTCAATGGAAGACTCTTTTAAGTTAACAGCTATGTGACCTTATACAAAATAATTAAACTCTGGGAGTCTCAGTTCCCTCATCTGTAAAGCAGGAATAATACCACAAACCTCCACGAATAAGAGATTGCTTGCAGAAAGGTGCCTGTCACACAACAACCTTCAATAAATTTAAGATCTTTTCCTTTCTTCCCTACCACTTGTACCAAGTCCCTGCTACTTTATACAGTCAATGCTCCTAAAGAAGACAGCAAGCACTCTGGCACCCATGAGAAACGTTGCCAATGCCTCCTATACAGAACTGCTCTCTAATGAGGTTTTTCTTATGGAAAATACTGCAGGACAGAAATGAAGTGTTACACTCCTACAGAATCATATACAGAACAGCAATTCTTTAAAAAAGGTAGTCCAAAAGCTAACAGGGAAAGCAAATCAAACAAAAGTGTGCACCTCTGTAACTTAAAAAAAAAAAAATAGGGGGGGGGCGCACTGGGCCTGGTGGCTCAATTGGTTAGAGCGCGAGTGCTCTTAAGAAGGTTGCCGGTTGGACTCCCTCATAGGATGGTGTGCTGCGGCTGGACTTGGAGCTGAGCTTACGCCCTTCACAACTAAGACTGAAGGACAACTTGACTTGGAGCTGATGGGTCCTAGGAAAACATAATGTTCCCTTCCCCAATTCCCCAATAAAATCTTTTTTAAAAAATGGCATTAAACAAAACATAGGCAACTTTCTCTTAAAGCAGCCAAAATAAATCATTAGTGGTTACTGGACATAAATGCTACATTTGGGGAGAAGGCGGGTGGCCATTAGAAAATGCAAGAGAACTGGAATACAGGACCCATATTAATGTGATCCAGGCATTCAAATTCAAATTCCCTAGATTTTCTGGGGCCGCCTGTCAAATTCTCTATCCCAATGTTGTCACCATACATGTCCTGATGTTTTATTCAAAAAAGATATGGTCACTAGGGAAACCAAAAAAACCAACAACAATAACAAACAAAAAAAATAAAGAAAAAAGAAAAAGAAAACCCACAACCATGAATGAGGCCTAAAAACTGGACAGTATTACTTTTTCAAAGTTTAGAATTTTGAAAGAATTTTACCAGAAACAATTCCCACTTCAGCTCCTCACTCCCTCTAATATTGTCTCATATTGAAATGTTTAATTTTAACTCCTTGACAACTAGCCCTTTTCATGCAGATGAAAATAGATCAGTGCACGTGATACGCCATTATACACTAACACTTCACACAGTAACCAAGCTAGGAGCATTAGTTCAACTGGCACTTGCAGCTTTAACACTTATTCCTCCCTCTGACATCTAAGATGGGACAGCCCTCTATTTATGCTATTCTGTTAAGAGTAGCCAACAATTCGATCTGTGGGACTTACGTGAAATTTAAACGTCCATACCTTTTTAAGGGGACCTTTATTCAGGAAACTCGGAAAAAGAAAGCCAACCCTAAAATGAATGACACCACGCTGAGAATTGTAACACCACAAAGGTATTCTTGCCTCTGGGAGCTCGAATGAATGCACCAGCCTAACAACTTCTATACAAGACACAGCGTATAATGATGCGATGGTAACTCACTTTTAACAGTCAACACTATCCCCTTCACTTCACTCAGCCGCACACACTTCCTCCCCGCCCCCCCTGCCCCCCCTACACACACACTCCCCGAACTCCAAAGCGAAAGAAGCCTTCCCTTTGGCCACCTTTATCACTTCCTCCCAGCACCAATGACCAACAGTGTCCCCAGTCGCCAAGAACGCGAGGCCGGATCCGACGGGTGCCCGTGTCTGCGTCCCAGGACGCTCCAGAAGTCGCTGCCCAGTGCCCCGTTCCTTTGCCTCCCTCGGATCCCTTCCACCCCGCTCCTCACTCCAAACCAGCTGTCCCGGCTCCGTGCCCGCCGGTCCCGGCACCTCTTCCCGAGACAAACCCGGAACCGGGCGCCGGCCCCCACCCAGGGGCGGGCTCAGGCCCGGGCACGGCCGCGGAGTCCCCAGCTCTCGCCCCACCGCCCGGGCCGCCCCGAGATTCGCGCCGGGGTGCTGGCGGGGAAGCAATGGGGGGCCCTGCCCGGGAGCCCGCTCCTCTCGCCAGGGCAGAGCAGGACTCACCTTCGTACTGCAGGTCGACCAGGACCAGCAAGAAGGGGAACACCGAGCCCAGTCGGCTGGTCACAGAGCTGGGGGTCACCATGTCCGAGAGCGCGCCGTGAGAAGCAAGGGTGCGGGACCCACCAGCCCCTGCTGGCGCTCAGGATGCAGTAGCGCCCGCCCGCCGTCGGCCCTCTTTCAGGCCTAAGCAGCAGCTGGCGCCCAGCGGAGGAAAGCAGCGACGGGCGGGGCCCGGGCGACGCTACGCCCCTACTTCCGCCGCCGTCCAATCGCATTTTTCCTGGCCGCTCGCTACTGGGCTCGCCGGGGTCGTGGTTTGCGCTGATAGGCTGCGGAGGCCATCGCCCCGCCCCATCTCTGATAGGAGAACGTGGAAGCACGAGACGAAGCGGCGTCCGCTTGTCGTGAAGCTGTCAGGGTGCTCCAAACTGCCGCGGCGGGCTGGAGGGAGGTGGCCCGCGAGTGTGGGTGGTGGCGGTCGAGTCCGCATGCGCAGGCCGTGGAAGCCTTTTTTGGGTCGCTCCTGGAACGGAAGGTTAGAGACGAGGAGGTTGCCAGCAATCTGAGGTTTTCCGGTGTGCTGCTTGGAGAGCACGGTGAAGCCGCTGCGTCCGGGATGAGAAGGCAAAACCTCGTCCCAGGAAGTCTGAGGGGAGGTCTAAAGCGCCTAGACTTGAGGTCTCAGAATGGACAGGTAAACACGACGAATCAAGAGCCTGCTACCTCCCGCTGAGTTTATCGGAACAAATACGGACTGAACAGAAGATCGCTCGAGAAACGGTCAGGAGAAGCTGGGGCTCATTAAAGTAGGGTGAGCTGATGGAGGCCGAAGCATTTCGGGGACAACCACCAAGAAGTACATTAGTGCCCTAAGGCACTAAATGACAATGGCTTGGAAGCTTGGGAACCTCCCCCCCAATCCCACCGCACCCCCTAACTGTCCAGCGGACCAGCATGTCCAGAAAAGAGCAGAATCCAGAAAGATCCTATGAAGAAGAAACCAGGGAGGCGCAGCAGCTGAGAGCAAGGGGCACTCTTAGCAGCCAACGTCAACTGTAAGGAAAAAAAAAACCAAAACACCTATTAGAACTAATCTTGCATCTTGTCCTCGTCAGAGGAAACTCAACAAAAGAGATAAGAACTTGAACAAGATAAAGTTCAAGTTACCATTCAGGTTGGCATTATGTTTGTTCACAGCCACTTCCGTTGGTGTCCCCAACACAACCCAACATGCACATTATACACCAGTGATGTTTTTCCATGGGGTAAAACAGTAATGTTTTTCTGTGTTAAGCATTGTAAAGCGCAGACTTAGTATTCTACCAGTAAGTATGTATTTGCTGCCTTGGTGCTACTTCACACTTTAGAAGAACTCATGAATTATAAATAGTATAGTATAAATAGTATAGTGAATTCGTGATTTCCTGAAGATATATAATACTAAGACTAATAAAAGCAAAAAGGCTACTAATTCCAAAGAAAACTAATGCAAAGGAATG